ACAAGAGTGAAACTCTGTCTCAAAAAAAAAAAAAAAAACAACTAGTTATGTGAAACAAATAGTTTACTATAGATCTCAGGAAAAAAGGACAGACATGGAGATGGTGCTTCTGTTCTTATTGAGCCTCACAGACGGTAACAAAGTCAAGAGAATGGATGAAATCCTCCAGGAAGAAAAAGGGAGGAAAAATAGAAGGACAAATCCTGAGGATGTCAGTATTGCAGAATCAGTAGACAAGGAAAAAAAATCAGGAGAGATTCATACCAGTGAAACCGAAGAAAAAAAATAGACAACACATTGGGGTAGAGAATGGGGAAGTCATCATGGTGATAGGGTACAGAGAAAGCAAATGATTCAACAGGTGGAATAGTCACTGGCAATAAGCAGGTCAGTGTTGACCTTAGCAAAAGTAGCTTCAGAAGAGACAGGACAGAGTCTAAAAGGCAGTGTGTTGAAGAGTGTGTCAGTCATTAACTTATTGCCTCTTAGTTTCAAATTCAGGCCAGGCGGGGTGGCTCATGCCTATAATTCTATCACTTTGGGAGGCCGAAATGGGCGGATCACCTAAGGTCAGGAGTTGGAGATCAGCCTGGCCAACATGGTGAAGTCCCATCTCTACTAAAAATACAAAAAAAAAAATTAGCCAGGTGTAGCGGTAGGCACCTGTATGTAATCCTAGCTACTTAGGAGGCTGAGGCAGGAGAATCACTTGAACCTGGGAGGTGGAGGTTGCAGTGAGCTGAGATCACACCATTGCACTCCAGCCTGGGCAAAAGTGAAACTCCATCTCAAAATACAACACACACAGGCCAGGCGTGGTGGCTCATGCCTGTAATCCAAGCACTCTGGGAGGCTGAGGTGGGTGGATCACCTGAGGTCAGGAGTTCGAGATCAGCATGACCAACATGGTGAAACCGTCTTTAAAAAAATTTAAAAAATAAAAAAACAGCCGGGCGCGGTGGCTCAAGCGTGTAATCCCAGCACTTTGGGAGGCCAAGGCGAGTGGATCACGAGGTCAAGAGATCGAGACCATCCTGGTCAACATGGTGAAACCCCATCTCTACTAAGAATACAAAAAAAAATTAGCTGGGCATGGTGGCGCGTGCCTGTAATCCCAGCTACTCAGGATGCTGAGGCAGGAGAATTGCCTGAATCCAGGAGGCGGAGGTTGCGGTGAGCTGAGACTGCGCCATTGCACTCCAACCTGGGTAACAAGAGCAAAACTCTGTCTCAAATAAAATAAAATAAAATAAAATAAAATAAAATAAAATAAAATAAAATAAAATAAAAAAATAAAATAAAATAAAATAAAATAAATAAAATAAAATAAAATAAAAATAAATAATAAAAAATAAAAAAACCACACACACCAAAAAACAAATTCACCCTTTGCACTTCTCTGTGAAAATGGACCTGAAGCTCTATCAGCAAAGGGTGCTGGAGAGGCACTTGAAAAGGAAGGTTTTGTTTCCTAGCTCTGGTGTCCTGGCTTGACAGGCTCCTGCAGCAGCCAGGGCTGCTCAATCATCTGTCTCTTGCAGCATGGGTGGCTTTTCCAGCATGCTTCTGGGCCCGCAGTGGACAGCAGCCAGCAGCCTACCTGAGCATCTATCCCATGCCCACCTGCTGGGGCAATTTTATAGGTTGCTTTTGGTGTCTACTGAGACACCTGCCCATGAACAGCTTTCCCCCTGCATCCTAGAGCAGGGGCCAGCAAACATTTCCAATAAACATTTTATACTCTGTGGTCATTGGGTCTGTCACAACTACAACTGACCCTTGAACATAGGTTTGAATTGTACAGGTCCATTTACACAGATTTTTTTTCAATAAAAGTTCTGTGTGTACTGGTCTCCCTACCACCTCCTCCACCTCTTCTGCCTCTGCCACCTGAAGACAGAAAGACCAACCCTTCCTCTTCCTCCTCCTCAGCCTATTCAAGGTGAAAACTATGAGGATCAAGACTTTGTGATGATCCACTTCCACTTAATAGAGAATAAATAGGGCCAGGCACAGTGGCTTATGCCTGTAATCCCAGCACTCTGGGAGGCTGAGGCGGGTGGATCACCTGAGGTCAGGAGTTCGAGATCAGCCTGGTCAACATGGCGAAATCTCGTCTCTACTACAAATACAAAAATAAGCTGGGCATGTTGGTGCACATCTGTAGTCCCAGCTACTCAGGAGGCTGAGACAGGGATAACTGCTTTAACCCAGGAGGCAGAGGTTGCAGTGAGCTGAGATCACACCATTGAACTCCAGCCTGGGGGAGAGAGCAAGACTCTGCCTCAAAAAAAGAAAAAAAGAAAAGAAAAACCCTGTCTACTAAAAATACAAAAATTAGTTGAGCGTGGTGGTGGACATCTGCAATCCCAGCTACTCGGGAGGCTGAGGCAGGAGAATTGCTTGAACCCAAGAGACAGAGGTTGCAGTGAGCTGAGATGGCACCACTGCGCTCCAGCCTAGGCTACAGAGCAAGACCCTGTCTCAAAAAAAAAAAAAAAGACCGGGTGCAGCGCTTCATCATGTCTATAATCCCAGCACTTTGGGAGGCTGAGGCAGATGAATCACGAGGCACGAGGTCAGGAGTTTGAGACCAGCCTGGACAATCTGGTGAAACCCCCATCTCTACAAAAAATACAAAAATTAGTTGGGTGCGGTTGTGGGTACCTGTAATCCCAGTTACTTGGGAGGCTGAGGCAGAAGAATCACTTGAACCCGGGAGGCAGAGGTTGCAGTGAGCTGAGATCACGCCACTGCCCTCCAGCCTGGGCGACAGAGCAAGACTCTGTCTCAAAAAAAAGAAAAAAAGAAATTTGAGAGGAGAGAGATCCAAGATGGCTGATCACTAACAGCTCAGGATTGTAGCTCCCAGTGAAAGCTCAGAGAACAAGAGGACGCCACACTTTCAGATGAATTTTCGTCACTCACAGACCAGCAGATTTCTAGTGGAGGAGCCCCACGGGTCGCCAGTGTGACTCTTGTGGCCGGCGCAGCGGTTTTGCTGGCGCCTTGGCGCGGCAGCTCTTCATGCAGAGTAAACAGGACTGATTCCCCTACTGACTGGTGTTTGGAGCTCTGGGAAGGCAGAGCCGCTTGTTGAGGACTCAAGAAGGAAGCCAGACCAGAGATTCCCAGGCAGAAGAGCACCATCAGTCTTATCGCTGCTATTTTGGCCGGCGCAGTGGGTTGCTTGAATCCCAGCACTGGGAATCAATAAATTGGACGTCGACTCAGAAACCTAATTAGAAAGGCGGTAGTTGTAAAGACGACAGATGGATAAATTTATAATAAAGGGAAAAAACCAGCCTAAGAAGGCCGAGCATACCCAAAATCAGAACCCCTCTCCCTCTACAGGGGATTGCAGTTCCTCATCAGCAACGGAACAAGCCCTGATGGAAAAGGACTGTGTTCCATTATCTGAAGTAGGCTTCAGAAGGTGGATGATAAGAAACTTCTGGGAATTAAAAGAACTTGTTCTAACCCAATGTAAAGAAACTAAGAACTTTGAAAAAAGGTTTGACGAAATGCTGAAAAGAATAGACAATATAGAGAGGAATATAAATGAACTAATGGAGTTGAAAAATATAACACGAGAACTCAGTGAAATATGCACAAGTTTAAATAGCAGAATGGATCAAGCAGAAGAAAGGATATCAGAGGTCGAAGACCAACTTAATGAAATAAAATGACAAGACAAGAATAGAGAAAAAAGGATGAAAAGGAATGAGCAAAGTCTCCAAGAAATATGGGACTATGTGAAAAGACCCAATCTACGTTTGATTGGTGTACCTGAATGTGATGGAGAGAATGAATCCAAGCTGGAAAATACTTTTCAGGATATTATCCAGGAAAATTTTCCCAATCTAGCAAAGCAGGACACTATTCAACCCCAGGTAATACAGAGAACACCACAAAGATATTCCTCAAGAAGAGCAACCCCAAGGCACATAATCGTTAGATTCACCAGGATCGAAACGAAGGAGAAAATACTAAGGGCAGCCAGAGAGAAAGGCCAGGTTACCCAAAAAGGGAAGCCTATTAGACTTACAGCAGATCTCTCAGCAGAAACCCTACAAGCCAGAAGAGAGTGGGGGCCAATATTCAACATACTTAAAGAACAGAACTTTCAGCCTAGAATCTCATATCCTGCCAAACTAAGCTTCACAACTGAAGGAAAAATAAAATCTTTTATGAACAAGCAAGTACTCAGAGATTTTATTACCACCAGGCCTGCTTTACAAGAACTTCTGAAAGAAGCATTATACATAGAAAGGAACAACCAGTATGAGCCTTTCTAAAAATATACCAAAAAGTAAAGAGCATCAACATAAAGAAGAATTTACATCAACGAATGGATAAAATAGCCAGTTAACATTAAATGGCAGTAACCCTAAATTTAAATAGACTAAATCCCCCAATCAAAAGATACAGCCAAAACCTAATGGTATATCCAAAGATACACAAAGACTCAAAACAAAGGGTTGGAGAAAAATTTACCAACCAAATGGAGAGCAAAAATAAATAAATAAACAAAAAGCAGGAGTTGCAATTCTCACATTTGATAAAATAGATTTCAAAGCAACAAAGATACAGTGGTAAAAGGATCAATGCAACAATAAGAGATCTTAATACCCAGATACATAAGACCCATAACGAGATTTAGACTCAACGAGACAGAAAATTAATAAGGATATCCAGGACTTCAATGCAGATCTGGAACAAGTAAACTCAATAAATACACAAATACACAATAAATACACAAAATATTGATCAGCCATTATTAATACCCATTTTTAGAATGAAGCAATATTCCTGTTCTCTCTCCCTCTTTTTCTTCCTTTCTTCCTCTCCTTCTCTCCTTTTTTTACTTTTCAACATCCTAGTTCCTCACCTCTACTCAATACATTCCTCTGAACACCTGATTCCTTGTGATTCTCCCATCCCACTGAAACCTCCAATCCATTAAAAAAAAAGAAATTTGAAATGTCATTCAAACAAAGTTATTCAGTTTAAAATGTTTTATTTCATAGCTCATAAAAAAGTTTGTATGTACAAGACTCTATAGATAGGCAGCTTTCAATCATAAATCAGATAGTAGTCTTTCAAACTCTACTGTGGAAGCATATTTAATGCACACATTTGAATGCTATGCATAAATAATTTTAACTATGGAGTCCAAGTTGTGGATTTTACATTAGATTTGCATATATAAGATACTTGTGGTCAAATTTCAAGACTGGTAAAGCCAATTTCAAGCTACTTATATTTTGAGTACAGGTTTCACTATTACAAATATATGATGTTTAACTAACAAATCTGTGACCTTCGAAGATGTCTTCGTCCCATGTGTATATATTTGAAATCTGAGTCCATTTGCTATTTCCCTTCTTCAATAATCTTCAAATTACAGTAGTTATGCATTGAGTTCTCTATTCATCTCACCCATCTCCTTTATCTGAAACAGGAAAAAGTATAGAAAAAAATTTTTTAAATACTTTTTCAATCTTTTGTTCATTCTGAAAATAGCATTAAATAAAAACTATTAGGAACACAAGATGTTTTTTTCCCCACATTTATAACATTTAAATAAAAAAAGAAAAAGCTATATTGCAAGGAAACACATATTTGAGTGTGTTCAAGCTGCTATTTAGAGACAAGATTGCCAAAGTGACTATGGTAAGTTGCAGTTAAGCCAGATCTTTAAGAATAAGATTTTTATTGAGTGCATACTATTTTTAAGGCTAGAAGAAATCGATTCACATTCTATTATCAATCTTTCACTTTATATGTGGGGAAACTGAAGTTCAAAATTAGTGTTTGTCTCACATCACACAATTAGTTATAGGCAAACTGAAACGACGATGACTGCTACTACTCTGTTGACAAATATGTTCTTACGTGGTAAGCATGGGACCAACACTTTACACTGATTAAGTTTAATCCTTGCAACAGGTCCATACTATCTATTTTCCCCATTTTACAGATAAACTCGGAGGCTTAAAGAAGTTATGTAACTTGCCCAGGCCAAACCCAGGTCTGCACTGCTCTGCACTACACTGCATTGTCATTCTTCCTGTCTGTAACAGTTCAATTCAGGGTTAGTCTTCTAGACTTGTGGTTGCCAAATCAAGTAAGCCAGATAATCTACTACAGAATGGGAAAAAAAATGCTAGAACTTTCTGGTTCTATTAGATTTTTTCCAATATTCCTTTACGTTTCTATTTTTATTACTTGCTAAAATATTAGTGGCACATATACAATTACAAATTTAACATTACAAAGATACACAAAAATTGATAGTATATGAAAAATGTTACTGATCAGGTTCAAAGACAAGTGTGTTCATGTTCAATTCCAAGGGACTAAAACACACTAACAATCTGACACTTGGATTTCATACTAGTATAGATGATTGGTTAGTACACAATAGATTTATTGTGACAAATTAAGTTCATATTAAATGATTATTTCACTGGCTTAGAGATAATAAATCAGATCATTAGTCAAAATGAGTTTCTCCAATGTGAATCCACTGGAGTATGCTTTCAGAAGATTCTATTAGATGTTGATGCTTTGTAAAATAAAAACCATAGGCTTCCCATTTCACTCTATGAGGCAGAAATCAATAGGTGGTGATCTGCTGTAGAATTCATACAAGAAGATTTAGGTAAGAGCATATTCTAAGACTGTCCCTAAGACCCTAAAGACAACAGTATAAAGGGACTCCAACATAACTGAGATGCATCAGTGTGTAGGAAGGTAGAGTGATTAGGAGTAAGAGATTCAACAGGGCTTTTCTATTTAGCTAAGTAACCCATTTACCTCAGCCTTCTGATACTTTGCCATTCTCTTCTTTCTGGAAACAACCTGAGTGGAAGAAAGATAATTACTGTTTTAGGACTGCTACTCAAAGGTTAACCAAATTGACATATATCCTTTTAATGGACATAGTTTTGATCTGAAAAAGTTAATTTTAACATCTATCCATAAATATTTATTGTTTCTTAAATTAAAAATTTCACACCAGTGCAGTGGCTCACACCTATACTTCTACCATTTTGTGGGGCTGAGGTAGGTGGATCACTTGAGGTCAGGAGTTCAAGACCAGCCTGGCCAACATGGTGAAACTCCATCTCTACTAAAAATATAAAAATTAGCCAGGCATGGTGGCATGTGCCTATAATCCCAGCTACTCAGGAGGCTGAGGCAGGAGAACAGCTTGAACCTGGAAGGGGGAGACTGCAATGAGCCAAGATCGTGTGCTACTGCACTCCAGGCTGGGCAAGAGAAGGAGACTTTGTCTCAAAAATAAATAAAGAAAACGAAATAAAATAAAATTTTCACTACTAAACAAACAAACAAACAAAAGGCCGGACATGGTGGCTCACATCTGTAATCCCAGCACTTTGGGAGGCTGAGGTGGGTGGATCATGAGGTCAGGAGTTCAAGATTAGCCTGGCCAAGATGGTGAAACCCCATCCCTACGAAAAACTACAAAAAAATTAGTCAGTTGCAGTGGCTCACACCTGTAATCTCAGCACTTTGGGAGGCCGAGGTGGGCGGATCACGAGGTCAGGAGTTTGAGACCAGCCTGGCCAACATGGTGAAACGCTGTTTCTACTAAAATTACAAAAATTAGTGGGGTGTGGTGGCAGGAACCTGTAATCCCAGCTACTCGAGAAACTGAGGCAGGACAATCGCTTGAACCTGGGCTGCAGAGGTTGCAGTGAGCCAAGATTGCGTCACTGCACTCCAGCCTGGGCAACAGAATGAGACTTTGTCTCAAAAAAAAAAAACCAAAAAACTATAGATGCACTGCCCAACTCCTTTCCTACTGCTATGCTTTGGACATGCCACCCTCTCAAACAGCTAGGCAATATGGCCAGTACTGGTGGCCATATTGTTTTTGTTTTTGTCCAGAGAGATAGCCAAACATGGTTGATTGAACTGGAAATATAAGTTCCCAAATATCCTCAAACGTATTTCTGAAATCTGTTGTATATGATTTTTTTTTTTTTTTTTCTGAGACAAAGTCTCACTCTGTTGCCCAGGCTGGAGTGCAGTGGCACGATCTTGGCTCACTCCACCCTCTGCCTCCTGGGTTCAAGTGATTCTCCTGCCTCAGTCTTCTGAGTAGTTGGGACTACAGGCACTTGCCACTGTGCCCGGCTAATTTTTTTTGGATTTTTAGTAAAGGCGGGGTTTCACCATGTTGGTCAGGCTGGTCTCGAACTCCTGACCTTGTGATCGGCCCACCTCAGCCTCCCAAAGTGCTGAGATTATAGGCATGAGCCACCAAACCCAGCCTTTTTTTTTTTTTCTTTTCTTTTTTAATTCTTTTTTCTGAGACAGAGTCTCGCTCTGTCACCTAGGATGTAGTGCAGTGGCAAGATCTTGGCTCACTGTAACCTCCACCTCCCAGGTTTAAGTAATTTTCCTGCCTCAGCCTCCTGAGCAGCTGGGCTGGGATTACAGGTATATGCCATCATGCCCAGCTGACTTTTGTACGTTTAGTGGAGATAGGGTTTCACTATGTTGGCCAGGCTGGTCTCGAACTCCTAACCTCAAGTGATCTGCCCCGCCTCGGCCTCCCAAAATGTTGGGATTACAGGCATGAGCCATCATGCCTGGCCAATGTAAGATTTCTTGATCCTTACATTCCGAAAATAAACCTTTAATTTCTTCAAGTGATACATTCTTTTGCCGAAGCACTGCTAAACTTAATTTGCTCATCTTTACTTGGAAGTATTGATTCACACGTCACTTTTAACTCTTTTCTATGGCTAACATTAATTTTGTGTCTGTTGTTCATCTCATTGAGTGGTTTGGGGTTCACGTATTTTGCACTAGGTGTTGAATTGTTTGCAGTGAGAACTGAAATACTCTTGCTGCTTGATGGCAGTGTAACTGGCCTGTGAGGTGCACAGCCGCAAGCTTTCTACGATTAGTATCCTTTCTTGCTTTGTAAAATGACTTGTAAAAATAGACCAGAAATACAATAGATTCAATCACTATAGAAAATTATTAAAAAATGAAGATTTTTTTCCCTTTAGTATGTTTTGGAATACGGATGTTACTTTTTCCTTTATTACCTTTTTCCTTTTTTTTTTTTTTTTTTTTTTTGAGACGGGGTCCTGCTCTGTTGCCCAGGAGGGAGCAACATGCCTGTAATCTCACTGCAGCCTTGACCTCCTGGGCTCAACTGACCCCTCCCACATAGCCGCCCTAGTAGATGGGACCACAGGTGCAAGCCATCACTTCTGGCTAATATTTGTATTTTTAGTACAGATGGGGTTTCACCATGTTGCTTAGTCTGGTCTCAAACTCCTGGTCTCAAGTGATCCACCTGTATCAGCCTCCCAAAGTGTGAGCCACTGCACCCAGTCATGATTATTTTTTCTTGAAAAAAATACATCCTTAAATGAAATTTTACTTGTTCTGTACTCACCAGCACAACAATTCCAGCAACAATTGCTATCACTACAACCACAATAACAGCAATAACACCAGCTTTTAGACCCTGCATTGAGAATTCAGGTGCTTTTTCATCAACATAATAAATTAAAGTTTGACCAGGATCCAGATCCAGTTGTTCCCCATTTACTCTCAGGTCCATTTTCTTAGAAGGATGAAACAAGGATTCACCTTTAACCTGAATTGAAAGAGAGAAAAGGAATTAAAAATATTTAAGAAAACCATGCATAGCCACATATAATCACATACAAATAGTATGCCAAAAGAACTGCTGCCAAGAATCTGTATGATTTTAGAGATAACAATCTAATCTATTGAAACTTAAAAAAAAAAAAAACTGGCTGTGTGAGGTGGCTCATGCCTGTAATCCCAGCACTTTGGGAGGCTGAGGCGGGCAGATCACCTGAGGTCAGGAGCTCAAGTCCGGCCTGACCAACATGGAGAACCCCATCTCTACTAAAAATACAAAATTAGCCAGGTGTGGTGGCGCATGCCTGTAATCCTAATCCTAGCTACTCAGGAGGCTGAGGCAGGAGAATCGCCTTGAACCCGGGAGGCGGAGGTTGTGGTGAGCAGAGATCACACCATTGCACTCCAGCCTGGGCAACAAGAGCAAAACTCTGTCTCAAAAAAAAAAAAACCTGTTTATTCCAGGAACCTTTCAACATACATGAAAGAAGAAAGAGTAGTGCAATGACGCCTTGCAACCATCACCCCAATGCAATGACATCAAAACATGGTCTCTTACGTCATCTTTTCTTCCTTTTATCCCTTCACCCCCGCCCAGATTACTTTGAAGCAAATCTCTGATATTTCAGCAGAAAATATCTCACTATAATAAAGTTTAAATGAAATGTTTTAATCATACCAGTTACATAGTCTTTTTAAACAGATTCTTATTATTGTGTAAATTATAAATATCACAGGGGAGCATATATGCACAAACTAACTACCAAGTAGATAATAAATAATAATTTTTAAATAGAATTATAAAAAAGAGGGGAGATATTTTAGGCAGAAGCAATTGATAAGAGGCGTAAATATACAAATAAGCAAGATGCATGTAAGTGACAGGAAGGACAACATTAATGGCAGCAGAAAAACCACTTGGTTGATCTATAAGTGGAGAAAAAGGTGATTAAATATTTTTAATTTGGTCAGGCACAGTGACTCACGCCTGTAATCCCAGCACTTTGGGAGGCCAAGGTGGCTGGATCACTTGAGGTCAGGAGTTTGAAACCAGCCTGGCCAGCATGGTGAAACCCTTCTCCACTAAAAATATGAAACAACTAGCTGGGCGTGGTGGCGCATGTCTGTAATTCCAGCTACTTGGGAGGCTGAGGCAGGAGAACTGCTTGAACCTGGGAGGTGGAGGTTGCAGTGAGCCGAGATCATGCCACTGTACTCTAGCCTGGGCGACAGAACAAGACTCTGTCTCAAAAAAAAAAAAAAAAAAAAAAAAAAAAAAAAAATTAATTCATTGAAGCATGATAGACTACATTTCTGAACACAGGAACAGAATAAAGAAGATTATACTCACATCTTTTTCAAAATAGTAAGCCACATCAGCTATGTCCACATCATTCTGAGTTTTTTGAGAAGAATTTTGAACCAGATCAATAGTAATAACATTATTCTCATACTGGGGGAAAAATTGAATACAAATTAATTCTAATATCAAAAACATACAAAAATAACATTATTTGAGAATCAGAATATTCAGTGTTTGATTTTCTGTAATCTACATGCATCGCTGTTCCTTTCCATTAGTGGATAATTAAGTTTAGCACTAATCAAGAAATCTTTGGGAGGTCTCTAACTCTATAAAAGGGAAGTAAGACAGCCACGCAACCAAGCATAATTACAATGTGCACTTTTTCCTGAGATAATTTTCTTATCTTGAAAAGATTTTAAAACAAGCTATCAAAGTATTTTATTTGAATTAGAACTACTTTAAAACTAAAATACTAAAGAAATGCAATCTAAAACGCAGTATGCATTTACCACGTTGTTTTTAAAGAGCAAAAAAAGTATATTCTTTCTAAAGAGTCTTGAATAAATTCATACTGCCTTCAAAAAGTTCCATCACACTATTCAAGCTTCTTTTTATTTTTTGAACCAGAGTTGAAAGAGTTAAGTAGGGGCTAACTGGTTAAGGATTAGTTCCTTAAAGCAGAGACAATGGGAGCTCCAGTAACATCCTAAAGTAAATATGCACCAAAAGCATTATTTACCAAAAGTAATTTTGGTGCATATTTACTTTAGGATGTTACTAGAGCTCATCCACAGGGACAGCTTTGGGCACAGTGGTTCACGCCTGTAATCCCAGCACTTTGAGAGGCTGAGATGGGTAGATCAAGAGGTCAGGAGTTCAAGACCAGCCTGGTCAAGATGGTGAAACCCCATCTCTTAAGAAAAAAAAAAAAAGGAAAAAGAAAAGAAAATGCAAATGTTTTAGGGATAGTAAGAGATACATTTTCTTTAGGGTTAAAACTAGGCTTTTCTTTTTTTTTTTTTTAAACAGTCTCACTCTGTCACCCAGGCTAGAGTGCAGTGGCATGATCATCTTGGCTCACTGCAACCTCCACCTCCCAGGTTCAAGTGGTTCTCCTGCCTTAGCGTCCTGAGTAGCTGGGACTATATATAGGTGCATGCCACCACGTCTGGCTAATTTTTTGTATTTTTAGTAGACACAGGGTTTCACTGTGTTAGTCAGGCTGGACTTGATCTCCTGACCTCATGATCTATCTGCCTCAGCCTCCCAAAGTACTGGGATTACAGGTGTGAGCTACCACACCTGGCCAAAACTAGGCTTTTCAAAGGCTATAGAAGGAAAACAACGATAACCGAAAACAATGGACTAGGCATGGTGGCTCACTCCTGTAATGCCAACACTTTGGGAGGCTGAAGCAGGCAGATCACTTGAGGCCAGGAGTTTGAGACCAGCCTGGCCAACATAAGCAAAACCCGACTAAAAATACAAAAATTAGCTGGGCATGGTGGCATGTGCCTGTAGTCCCAGCTCCTAGGGAGGCTGAGGCATGAGAATTGCTTGAACCTGAGAGGCAGAGGTTACAGTTAGCTGCGATCTTGCCAGCCTCCTGAGTAGCTGGGACTACAGGCACACGCCACATCAGCTAATTTTTTTTGTATTTTTAGTAGACATGGGGTTTCACCATGTTGGCCAGGATGGTCTCGATTTCTTGACCTTGTGATCTGCCCACCTCAGCCTCCCAAAATGCTGGGATTACAGGCATGAGCCACTGTGCCCGGCCGAGACTGTCTTAAACAAACAAACAACAACAACAAAAAACAATAACAGGAAATTCACAGTAAGTACCCAGGACTTGAAACTGTTGCTCCAGTAAGTGCATTTAACCACCACTAAAAGCACTGGCTGTCCTTTATATTCAAATCATACTGTCTCACCAACTTCTGCTAAAGCTCACTTATTTAAAAAATCATACCACAACATTTGTGATAAATTTTCCATCCAGGTGATAACGCGTTGTGATTGCCTCCTGAAGTGCACTGTAAATAATTTAAAATCTGTGTTTTAAAAAATGTTTGTAACACACAACCGTAAGAAGCACTACTCTTTAAGCAGATAGCTCACAGTCTAGAATTGTCATTGAAGTTAAAATTGTTGTGCCATTTTGCAACTATCATAATAATTGATTCAGGCTAGAACCATCCATTGTTATTAAAACTCATGGGTTCCAGTTTAATTAGAAAAATAACATTTACTAAGTATTCAAGTATCTGCCCACAGATTGTTTATGATTACAAAGGGAGATTGGTAACTTCACAGTGGAAAAACCTGGTGGATACCACTTTACCCAAAGTTTACATTACTAGTAAAGGGACAAGCTGACATCATGGAACTCCTGGTGTTAAGTACTACATAGGACACAACATTGCTTAAGTAGTTTTCCTACCGGGGATGCATAACCTGTCCTTAGTTAAGAAGAAACATCAGGCCGGGTGCGGTGGCTCAAGCCGTAATCCCAGCGCTTTGGGAGGCTGAGGCGAGTGGATCACGAGGTCAAGAGACCAAGACCATCCTGGTCAACATGGTGAAACCCCGTCTCTACTAAAAATAAAAATAAAAAAAAATTAGCTGGGCATGGTGGCGTGTGCCTGTAATCCCAGCTACTCAGGAGGCTGAGGCAGGAGGATTGCCTGAACCCAGGAGGCGGAGGTTGCGGTGAGCCGATATTGCGCCATTGCACTCCAGCCTGGGTAACAAGAGCGAAACTCCATCTCAAAAAAAAAAAAAAAGAAGAAACATCAGACAAATCAAAATTTGAGGGACATTATATATAACTTGCCCACGCTCTTCAAAAATATCAAGTTCATGGAAGACAAAGAAAGCTCAAGAAACTGTTTCACATTAAAAGAGACTAAAGAATCATGACAACTAAATATGACACATGATCTTGGATTGGGTCCTGAATCAGAGGGGAAAACTTGCTACAAAGGACAATATTGGGGAAACAGGCACAATGTGATATCATGTTAAATTTCCTAAATTTGATCATTGTATAGTGGTTTATTTAAGAGAATGTCTTTTGTTCTTAGGAAAAGATACACTAAAGTACTTAGGGGTAAAAGGGCCTGGTGTTAACAGCTTGCTCTCATGTGCTTCTGGGAAAAATATTTACACACGCATAGATACACTGATATAAAGTACACACACATATTCATTCACACATACACATAAAAAAGCAAATGTGGCAAAATGTGGATGGTGAATCTGAGTGAAGTATATTACTGGAATCTCTGCTATTCTTGAGACTCTGTTTCAAGTAACTTTATTTTTCAGAAATATGAAAAAGCATTTAGGCTTGGTTTTTCTAATGGTGTAGGATGGAAAATTTGAGCTACCAATTGTGCAAGAATAATATGATGCATTTAATTGTACTTACTCCCGCAAACTTTGAACATCGTAAGGTTTTTCTCTTGCTTTGTGTTTTAGTTCAATGATGATCCAGCTATAAAGAAAAAAGACAATGTCAGTTGACTATAACTCAGTGTTTTATACTATTTCCTAACAAGCTAATACTAAAATTCTCAAGTAGAGAATTGTAGAATTATAAGGACTAACAGAAAAATAATTTATGCAGTAGATATTCCTGTAATTTCTTTCCTTACACATCCTTCATAAAGGACACTCCCAGGAGGGAACACCCTTTCTAATACTGACCCTCTGTTCTCTGGACACATAAATAAGGTCACACGAAGTCAAGGTTTAGCTGGCAGTGTTGTGCCCCGTTCAACTTTAAAGACGAAAAGCCATGAAGAGGATGGTTTCGGTGGCTCACACCTGTAACCCCAGCACCCAAGGGAGTATCGAGGCGGGTAGACTGCCTGAGGTCAGGAGTTCAAGATAAGCCTGGCCAACATGCTGAAATCCCATCTCTACCAAAATACAAAAATTAGTTGGGTATGGTGGCACACGACTATAGTGCCAGCTACTTTGGAGGCTAAGACAGGAGAGTCGCTTGAACCCAGGAGGCAGAGGTTGCAGTGAGCTGAGATTGTGCCATTGCACTCCAGCCTGGGTGACAAGAGTGAAACTCTGTCTCAAAAAAAAAAAAAAAAAAGAGGTGGGGGTGGCACGAAAAGAAAATTGACAATGAGGCTCCAGAAGACCAAATAGAAAGTGCTCACTTTGGTCCTGACATCCTTCCCAGTTTCTAGTCCCTTCCAATGAAGTCTTCTTTTGTTTAAGCTAGCCTGAGTGGGTTTCTGATCCTTCATTAAACAATCCCTTAAACAAGCATCTCTCACTTTTAAAACACAATCAATGAGCAAATACATAGGTTAAATTAGAAACATTTAATACTAATGCAACTATGAAATTCTGAATAATGTCAAGTAAAGATATAAAAGAAAAATTATACCTCATATGCTACCATTTATGTAAAAATAATAAAAGAGATATATAACAAATTCATCAACTATCTCTAGAAGGTTATAGACTAATCAATGACATCAATTCCATGGAGGTCTACTGGGCAGCCAGGGGGACAGGAATGACAGGGAAGCTCTTCAATGGATACTCTTCTCTTCTGAATTCTAAACCATGAAATCATATTACATAATCAAAAAAATTTTAATTAAATGAATCTGAACGGCATGAAAACAAGTAGTACAGGGAGCCCCACTCACAAGGTTCTCACTCGCTCGGAGCAGGTTATTTCAGTGTCCTTGTCTGTTCTTCTGACCCCAGCAGTGTTCACACACCAGCACGTGGAGGTGCCGTTGCACTGCTTGGCCTTAAAGAGCCCGCTCTCGTCACAGTCGGGGTCATAAAGCCCATCATTGTTCTGGAGGGCCCCTTCAGGTTTTGCTCTTCTCCCAAGTTTTGAGTTAGTAATTTCCGCCTTCATTACCAAACATTTAGAAGCCACTGAAAAAGAAACAATGCCAAACTGAAAAATAACTGGTTTCATGATTACAGAGAAAAAAATATTTAACTCTAAAGCTCCAGGGCCAAAGATTCTTTGAAACTTATGTGTTCCCATACTTACTTTATAACATAATTCAGATTTGAGCCAATAAAACTCATTCCAATGCAAGGCACATCAATTAAAAAAGTATTAAATCAAAATAAAGCTTACAGGCAATAAGGATATTTTACTCACACTTTGAGCAAATGACGGTATTTTGTGAACCAACTGAAGTACACTGGCATTGACCGTTGCTATTCATAACGCAGTTGATGGCCAGCTTGTAGTTTTCGCAGTGACATTCTAGAAAATTAAAAAAAAAAAAATCTACTTTAAAATGTGGATCTATTAACTCTCTACATCCCAGCTAACTTATATTCTAATAATAATGCCTCAAGTTACAGGGACACAAAACCTTAAAAAGTGGTCCTGAAGGTTATTATAATTTTCAGCTATAGAGTGCTTCCCAAGGGTCTGGCACTTGCTAAAACTTTAAACAGACACAGAGTTTAATCTGCATGCATTCCTGTTTCAAATCTTTTTTCAAATAGGGTCTCGCTCTGTGGCCCAGGCTGGAATGTAGTTGCATAATCTTGGCTTACTGTAGCCTGGACCTACTGGGCTCAAGTGATCCTCCCATCTCAGCTTCCCAAGTAGCTGTGACTACAGTCATGCCCCACCATACCTAGCTAATTTCTTACTTTTTGTAGAGACAGGGGTTTTGCCATGTTGCCCAGGCTGGTTTCAAACTCCTGGCCTCAAGCAATCCTGCTACCTCAGCCTCCCAAAGTACTGGGATTATAGGCATGAGCCACCATGCCTGACCTCCTGTTACAATTTTTTTTTTGAGACAGAGTCTCACCCTGTCACCCAGGATGGAGTGCAATGGCATGATCTCAGCTTACTGCAACCTCCACCTCCTGGGTTCAAGTGATTCTCCTGCCTCAGTCTCCTGAGTAGCTGGGATTATAGGCACGCACCATCATGCTTGGCTAATTTTTGTATTTTAAGGAGAGATGGGGTTTCACCATGTTGGTCAGGCTGGTCTTGAACTCCTGACCTCATGATCCGCACACTTTGGCCTCCCAAAGTGCTGGGGTTGCAGGTGTAAGCCACCGCGACTGGCCCGTTACAATTTTTTAAAACAAGAACACAGCTCTTCAAACATCATTTCTAGCTTTATCTTTGTGAAAATCCCCATCTTAGCTCCTTCCCCGCTCCTGTCCTGCTAAGTAACATCCCTGTCAGTCACTGCCTTTTTTTTTTTTTTTGAGATGAAGTCTCTCTCTGTTGCCCAGCCTGGAGTGCACTGGTACAATCTCTGCTCGCTGCAACGTCTGCCTCCCAGGTTCAAGTGATTCTCCGGCCTCAGCTTCCTGAGTAGCTGGGACTACAGGCATCTACCACCATGCCTGGCTAATTTTTGTATTTTTAGTAAAGATGGGGTTTTCAGCATAATGGCCAGGCTGGTCTCGAACTCCCGACCTCCTGATCTGTCCACCTCAGCCTCCCAAAGTGCTGGGATTATAGGCATGAGCCACTGCGCCAGTTCTTTTTTTGCATTTTTAGTAGAGATGGAGATTCACCATGTTGGTCAGGCTGGTCTCGAACTCCTGACCTCAGGAAATCCACTCACCTTGGCCTCCCAAAGTGCTGAGATTGCAAGTGTGAGCCACCACTGCCTCTTTTACAAAAAAATCAACAACTCCAATGCTAGAATCGGCGAATCCTTACCTTCTCTCACTCTCCCACCCCATTTTCTTAAATGAGGGATGTTTCCTTTGGGGCTTAACAGGAATATATTAAATCTTTAAATCATTTTATATCTTGGAAAAATTACGCTTTCAACTGCAGTTGGAGTCATCCCTGTGAGTTTCCTAACTAAATTAAGTCCCAGTGGAAACCTGATGTGGAAAGTGATACTAAGCAGCCCATTCTGGGTTAGTGATGTCAGTTTAATAATTTTGTCCTTGACTACCTCAAAAGTTCATTTAACTTCGAATTGGCAAGATTATGTAATTCCTTCTGTCTAGTTAAAAGAGCACAATCATTAAAAACAAAAACTATCTCCTCAGTTCAACTGAAGAGGGGGAAAAAAAGCTAGTAAGACAAAGCAGAGTTTTTATATTGATCCTTCATATCCCAAGCACCCTAAATTGACTTCAATTTTTCCCTGTTCAGGTTATAATCGATATGAACCACCGATAATCTGCCCAACACTAAACTCAATATTGGGGTCACAAAAGGGGAAAATACAGCACTTGTCCTCACAAGTTAGAAAATCTTCTGCAGCCCCGTCCTGTACTTGTTTAAAAGACATTGTTCATTCCTAAGAGGCGTGAAATTTAAAACAGACCAGTCAGGTGCAGACTTACTGAGCAGAAGCGGGCCACCACTTTAAAGAAATTTCACATTAAGTATGTAGTCCCAGGTTGAAGCTAGAAAAATATGAGTTGACTAAAGTGCATTCCTTTGAGAGCATAATCACTGAATTTAGGCCATTCCACTGGTGAAATATAAAAGCCCTTCCACAGAGCTTTGGCAAACGCCACTCCACTTCTAGGCACCATCTTACAAATAAGGTGGGTCATGCCTGTAATCTCAACACTTTGGGGAGATGAAGAATGCAGTGAGTTTTATGTGTGTGTGTGTGTGTGTGTGTGAGAGAGAGAGAGAGGAGAGAGAGAGAGGAGGGGGGGGGGAGGGGGAGAGAGAAAGATGGGGGAGCAAGAGAGGGGAGAGAGAGAGGAGAGAGGAGAGAGAAGAGAGAGAGGAGCAAGAATGAGAGGAGAGAGAGAGGGGAGCAAGAGAGGAGAGACAGAGGAGTGAGGGGGAGAGAGAAGAGGGAGAGAGAGGAGCGACAGAGAGGAGAGAGAGGAGCGACAGAGAGGAGAGAGAGGAGCGAGAATGAGAGAAGAGAGGGGAGCGAGAGAGGAGCGAGAGATAGAGAGGGGAGAGAGAGAGGAGCGAGAATGAGAGGAGAGAGAGGAGAGAGAATGAGAGGGGAGCAAGAGAGGAGCGAGAGATAGAGGAGAGAGAGAGGAGCAAGAATGAGAGGAGAGAGAGAGGAGAGAAAATGAGAGGAGAGAGAGGGGAGCAAGAGGAGCGAGAGAGATAGAGAGAGGAGAGAGGGAGGAGTGAGAGAGGGGAGCGAGAGATAGAGGAGCGAAATAGAGGAGCTAGAGATAGAGGAGGCGAGAGAGAGAGAGAGAGAGAGAGAGAGAGAGAGGGGGGGGGAGGGAGGGAGGGAGGGAGAGAGGGAGAGAGAGGAGCGAGAGAGAAGGGAGTGAGGGGGGAGAGAGAAAGAAGAGAGGAGAGAGAGGGGAGAGAGGGAGAGAGAGAGAGTTGGGTGGGGGAGGAGGGGGGGAAGAGAGAGAGAGAGAGCGCGCGAGCCAGCGAGCGCGAGAGCAGGCATTGTAATCCAAGCTACTCCTGTAATCCAGGCTACTCCAGAGGATGAGAGAGAATTGCTTGAACCTGGGAGGCAGAGGTTGCAGTGAGCCGAGACTGTTCCATTGTACTCCAGCCTGGGCAACAGAGCATCACTCCACCTCAAAAATAAATAAATAAATGAAAATACAAATACAAAAATTATCGGAGTGTGGTGGTGGGCACCAGTGATCCCAGCTACTTGGGAGGCTCGCACCTGCAATGCCCGCACTTCGGGAGGCTAAGGCGGGTGGATCACCTGAGGTCAGGAGTTCGAGACCAGCCTGGTCAACATGGCGACACCGTCTCTGCTAAAAATACAAATTACTCGAGCCTGGTGGTACATGAGCCTGTAGGCCCAGCTACTCAGGAGGCTGAGGCGGGAGAATCACCTGAACCCAGGAGTTAGAAGTTGCAGTGAGCCGAGATCATGCCATTGCATTCCAGCCTGGGAGGCAAAAGCGAAACTCGGTCTCTAATAATAATAATAAAATAAATAAATACAAAAATTAGCCGGGCGTAAAGGCTAAGGCAGGAGAATGGTCTGAGCCGGGAAGGTAGTGGTTATAGTTCAAGATTGTGCCATTGCACTCCACCTGGGCGACAGAGCAAGGCTGTCTCAAATAGGAAAATAAAACAAAGAAAGAAAGATATATCTAGTTATTAATTACGGGATTCTCAAAATGGTGGGATTGTAGGTTTTTACACTTCACGGTTATTGTTTCTGCGTTCCCTACAATAAGCTCGGCATTACTCACGCGATCCTTAGAAAAGGTAAAACACCCACACGCCCTGTGTAATCCAGGTCTTCAGGCTGCGCGCAGGTGCATAGCGGCCCTGGAGGCCTCTCTGCGTGTGGGCACCTGTTCCCGCCTGAGGCCACATCCGGGGCCCGCCGTAGGTGACAAGGACAAGGGCGGGCCAGCTGGTCTCTACAGCAGAGACTCCGCCACCGGCTCGGGCTATTATGGAACCCCAAATCCGCTCCGGCCTGAGGAGGTGGGTGCGCCAGGGTGCGAAGCATTGGTTCGGTGGCCGCAGGATTCCTGGACGTGGCCACTCAGTTCCTCGCCTGTCCCCCGCCTCCGCCCCGGGCCATTTCCCTACCGAGGCGAGCAAAGCTGCAAAGTGAGGCTGTTCCCCCCGCAGGCGCGAGTGAGCGCCTACTTGTCGTTTCTTACTGCGCCGAGGGCCGGGGCCGGGGCACCGCCGCGCCGTCTGGTCTCCAGGCTGGAAAGCGCGGCCTCTCGGTGTCCTCCCCATTACCCCCGCCTCGGGGTCCGCAGGCCGCTGCCCTCCAGCCTAGCCCAGCCCAACTCCACAACTCCTGCTCCAAGTCCGCGCCTCACCTTCCTCAGCCGCGGCCAAAGTCGCCGTCGCCGCCGCGAGCAGGAGCCCGAACGCAAGGACCTGCGGTGGCGCCATGCTGTCCGCGCGCCGGGGACTCGCGGGAGGGCGTGCGCCGGGAGCGAAGCACGAGAAGCCGGCCCGGCGGCGAGAAGCCTGGGGCGCGCGGGTCCGCGTCGGGAGGACCACGACGAAGGGATCCTCGGACCGCGCGGAAGGTGCTTGCTCGCCGAAGGACCTGTGCTCAGTGCGCGCGGCGGGGAGAAGTGCAGATCTACCGGACCTGGCGGCCCCGCCTCTCACCTCCCGGGTCGACTCACCTCCGGCCGCCGGTGCTCGGTGATGAGTCACCGCCCGGGGGCGGGGAGTGAGTAGCTCCCCTCCCCCAGCCCCGGGGCAATTGTTGGGGCCCCGCCCCCTCCGCAGGTATGCGCCCGTGCGCCCCGCCCCGCTCCAGGTGCTTTCTCTCCGGCGGCGGCAGGGACCCTTAGTGGCCTCGGAAAAGGTTTGAAGATTCTGTGCTGAGACTTCCTTTTATCTGGAGCAGCGCTACTCTGAAGCCTGGAAGAACCGGGCTTGGGGAAAAGGGTGCAGCGACTGGATAGAGGAAAGTGGAGGCTAAAGGGAATATAAAGACAAAACACTATAAAAAAGACGACCTTTGAGCTTTACCTGGCAGTTTAATTGTACTCCTTTGAAATTAGAAAAAAAAAAAAAGAAGAGGCCGGGCGCGGTGGCTCACGCCTGTAATCCCAGAACTTTGGGAGGCCGAGGCGGGCAGATCACGAGGTGGAAAGTTCGTTGATCAGCCTGGCCAACCCAGTGAAACCGCGTCTCTACTGGAAATACAAATATTAGCCGGGCCTGGTGGCGCGTGCCTGTAATGCCAGCTACTCAGGAGGCTGAGGCAGGAGAATCGCTTGAAAGCTGGGAGTCAGAGGTTGCAGTGAGCCTAGATGGTGCCCCTGCACTCCAGCGTGGTGACAGAGAGAGAAGACGTCTCAAAAAAAAAAAAAAAAGGTGGGCGTGCTGGTAGTGTGCCTGTAATCCCAGCTACTCCGGAGGCTGAGGCAGGAGAATCACTTGAACCAGGGAGTTGGAGGTTGCAGTGAGCCAAGATCCTGCCACTGCACTCCAGTCTGGGGATAGCGAGACTCTGTCTCAAAAAAAAATTTAGCACCAAGGGTCGGAAAAAAAAAAAGGAAAGGTAAAAAAGCAATTTTAAGGTTCAGCTGTTTGATTAATTTCTACAAGAATATATATCAAATCAAAGCTTATGCTTATATTAAACAATCATTTCTATGTTATATTCTGTTGAAGTGTAGGCAAGTTGATCAATGTAAATAGTCATGTTGTTATAATACTTCTATAATTTGTTCTGTATAATTTAAATTTCACTTGGTATATGAAATATGCTATATAGGCCAGGCATGGTGGCTCATGCCTGTAATTCCAGCACTTTGGGAAGCTGAGGGACACAAATCACCTAAGGTCAGGGGTTCGAGACCAGCCTGGCTAACATAGTGAAACCCTGTCTCTACTAAAAATACAGAAAAAATTAGCTGGATGTGGTGGCACATGTCTGTAGTCCCAGCTACTTGTGAGGCTGAGGCAGGAGAATCACTTGAACCTGGGAGGTGGAGGTTGCAGTGAGCCAAGATTCTGCCATTGGACTCCAGCCCTCACAACTAGAGCGAAACTCCATCTCAAAAAAAAAAAAAAAAAAAAAAAAAAAAATATATATATATATATATATATATAGTACTAACAAATCAGGAACAAGTTAACCAGATTTTTGTTGTCTGCTGCATTTTGGATGTTTTCAGGAAGTTTGCCTTTCTCCAAATTACATGTACTTTTCCCAAGAATAATCTAACTGGTTATTGTGGTTTTATTGGCAAAATTTTCCATTCTGAGGTCTAAATCTGTTTACCTAATCTGGAGAACTTCATCTTCTTATAACTGGACACCTATTTATTGTTCATTGCAATAAAGTGAATTGAGTAAGCATAATTATTAAATAAATAACGAAATACCACTCTAATCTCTGACTCATTGTATCTAAGTATTCATCCAGGGTGGTTCCCCCCCCCCCACCCGAGATGGAGTCTTGCTCCATCACACAGGCTGGAGTGCCATGGTGTGATCTCGGCTCACTGCAACCTCCTCGTGGGATCAAACAATACTCCTGCCTCAGCCTCCTGAGTAGCTGGGATTACAGGTGCCTGCCAGCACACCTGGCTAATTTTTGTATTTTTAATAGTTTTACCATGTTGGCCAGGTTGTTCTCCAACTCCTGACCTCGTGATCTGCCCGCCTCAGCCTCCTAAAGTTCTGGGATTACAGGCGTGAGCCACCACTCCTGGTCTTTTATTTTTTTGAGATGGAGTCTCTCTGTGTCACCTAGGCTGGAGTGCAATGACGCTATCTTTGCTCACTGCAACCTCCACCATCCAGGTTCAAGCAATTCTCCTGCCTCAGCCTCCCAAGTAGCTGGGATTACAGGTGCCTGCCACCACACCCAGCTAATTTTTGTATTTTTACAAAATACATGGGGTTTCACCATTGTAGCCAGGCTGGTCTTGAACTCCTGACCACAGGTGATCCTCCCGCCTCAGCCTCCCAAAGTGCTGAGCCACTCCCACAGGCATGAGCCATCACTCTGGGCGGTATTGTTTATTTTAATAGCTCTTTAATACCTTTTCAATTTGTCATTCACTGCTCAAAATTACTGATTTTATGTTTTAATTGTGAATCTTCTGTAGTTCTAGTGCCATATTTAAGAACATTTAGGGCCGGGTGCGGTGGCTCACGCCTGTAATCCAAACACTTTGGAGGCCAAGGCAGGCGGATCACCTGAGGTCGGGAGTTCAAGACCAGCCTGACCAACATGGTGAAACCCCGTCTTTAAAAAAGAAAAAGAAAATTTATTAATATTTACAGGCCAGGCATGGTGGCTCATGCCTGTAATCCCAGCACTTTGGGAGGCCAAGGGTGGTGGATCACTTGAGATCAGGAGTTTGAGACCAGCCTGGGCAACATTGTGAAAACCCATCTCTACTAAAAATACAAAAGTTAGCTGGGCATGGTGGTGGTGCATGCATTTAATTCCAGCTACTTGGGAGGCTGAGGCAGGAGAATTGCTTGAACCCTGGAGGCAGAGGTTGCAACAAACTGAGATCATGCCACTGTACTCCAGTCTGAGTGACATAGTGAGACTCTGTCTCAAAAACAGAAAATAATAGTAATAGTAATCCCTTACACAAGCATAGTCCTTTCACCTTTTCATTCCAATTTTAGTATATGTGCTGTAGAAGCAAGCATGCCCTTTCACCTTTTCAAAGAGCTCCCACATCTGTCGATTTACTCAATTCTTGCACCCACCCTGACTGTGTGCAAATATATTGTCTCACAATATCTGACTAAGAAAGAAATATGACAAGACTAAAAACCATAGCTAGGCCGGGCGTGGTGACTCATGCCTATAATCCCAGCATTTTGGGAGGCCAAGGCAGGTGGATCACCTGAGGTCCGGAGTTTAAGACCAGCCTGGCTAACATGGTGAAACCCCATCTCTATTAAAATACAAAATTAGCCGGGTGTGATGCTGTGCACCTGTAATCCCAGCTACTTGGGAGGCTCAGGCAGGAAAATCACTTGAATCCAGGAGGTGGAGGTTGCAGTGAGCCAAGATCACGCCATTGTACTCCAGCCTGAGCAACAGAGTGAGACTCCTTCTCCAACAGCAACAGCAAAAAAACCATAGCTAAACATGTCTAGCCATCAACTAAGAACCCAATTAAAAAGCCAACAACAGGCCAGGCATGGTGGCTCACGCCTGTAATCCCAGCACCTTGGGAGGCCGAGGCAAGTGGATCGCCTGAGGTCAGGAGTTCGAGACCAGCCTGACCAACATAGTGAAACCTCGTCTCTACTAAAAATACAAAAAAATTAGCTGGGCATGATGGCGGGTGCTTGTAATCCCAGCTACTCGGGAGGCTGAGGCAGGAGAATCACTTGAACCCAGAAGGCAGAGGTTGTGATGAGCCAAGATCTTGTCATTGCACTCCAACCTGAGCAACAAGAGCGAGACTCCCTCTCAAAAAAAAAAAAAAAAAAAGCCAATGACGAAACCAAAGTGTGGATGGAAAAGGAGAAAGTGGTTATGACTGTTTTTTTCTCATGAATGTTGCGATATTTCTAAATAAAAAAAATTACATATTAAATGTAAATGGTTTGGAAAAAGAAATGTTCTTTAAAAAGAAAAATAATGCTATTTAAGAAAATTACTGTAGTTAATATCCTATAGTTTACTTATTTTCACATAGATTTGAGAATGTGTGTGTGTAATACGTAGAATTTAAAGAAGTTTTAAATAGGATGAATTTTATTATTGCAGATGGTTAAACAAGTGTATAATGCGTAAACATTTATTGTAATTCCACTAGGGTCTGGGCATGGTGGCTTCCACCTGTAATCCAGCACTTTGGGAGGCCAAAGCGGGTGGATCACCTGAGGTCAGGAGTTTGAGACCAGCCTGGCCAACATGGTGAAACCCTATCTCTACTAAAAATACAAAAACTTAGCTAGGTGTGGTGGCAGGCACCTGTGATACCAGCTACTTGGGAGACTGAGGCAGGAGAATCACTTGAACCTGGGAGGCAGAGGTTGCAGTGAGCTGAGCTCATGCCATTGCATTTCAGCCTAGGTGACAGAGCAAGACTCTGTCTCAAAAAATAAATATATAAATAATAGCCTACCTTGATTTCAGGAACACGTTTGACCTAATGGCTCATATTGCTATTGATTAAATAGACAAAGTAGGCTGGAAGAACAGAATGGAGGTCAATGAGGCTGAAGTTTGTGTGAGCTCATACAATGCCTTAAGGAATGGTTAGGAGTTTGAATGTTATTCCAGATAGATAGATAGATAGATAGACAGACAGATAGATGATAGATAGATGAGTGTCTTGCCATCTTGCCCTGGTTGGTCTTGAACTCCTGGGCTCAAGCAATCCTCCTGCCTCTGCCTCCCAAAGTGCTGGGATTACAGGCGTGAGCCACTGTGCCCAGCCAACTTGGCATATTTATAAGGTTTATGTCAATTAGTATAGAACACTGATAGAATATAGCAATAATTATAACTGCCATTCATGGAGCACATATTAAGTGCCAGGCATTGGTGACCAAGCATTGTTGACAGGTGCTTTATTTTCACCAGGTTTTGAGTACATTATTAAACTTTTCAGTAAATATTAAGCACCTACTATGTGCTTCTACCAAGTGCTTATGAACAAGTGTACAGCGCCTATTCTGTGCCACCCTTTTGCCTTTTGTCTGCATCTTTTTTAAAATTTTTTTGGGATGGAGTTTCATTCTTGTTGCCTAGGCTGGAGTGCAATGGCACGATCTCAGCTCACTGCAACCTCCGCCTCCTGGGTTCAAGCGATTCTTCTGCCTTAGCCTCCTGAGTAACTGGGTTTACAGGCACCCACCACCACACCCAGCTAATTTTGTATTTTTTAAGTAGAGACAGGGTTTCACCATGTTGGTCAGGCTGGTCTCAAACTCCTGACCTCAGATGA